TCTACTTACACGAAGTCCAATTGCTTGAACAGTGTGAACGCGTTTTTTGGTAGTGCATCCAAATTTATACCTTCCAGATCTCTAAAATTTTCATGAAATTAGTTATTTACTTTGATAGAAATTTTACAATATAAAAATTAATACAATAAATTATAGAAATAATATGTTCTAAACTTATTAAAAGAATCTTAATGCTAAAACTTACAGAGAGTCCAGTCTTGTCAATGGACTCAACACGGCCATCGGTAAATTATAAAAGCGATTGTAACCTAATTGTCTGCAATAAATATTAATCCAATAATTTTTGAAAATTATTCCATTTCATTGCTTGATAATTCTGTCCTTACGCGTGCTTTAATTTTACCACAAAACCACGATAATCACATTAGCTATTCGTATCAGCCTTATTTTCGTACGTGTCGGCATAATAAATAAAAGTTTTAGCATCAGCATATGTGACGTTCCTCTCGTTTGCTTTTCTAACACCGTGCGTTCGACGGTAAATATCAGGTAAATATGTTGCAAGCACGCGCGTAGCTTAAGACGTGTAGCGTTACAATTTATGTGGATACCGGTGCCTCGTATACTTACAACCTCGTCAGATTTTTTAACGGTTGGAATACATTCAGCGGGACGGTCGTTATTTCGTTGAACGCCAAATTACTGAAAGGGAAAAGATCCGTTTTGCACGATGCACAGTGATGTACGAGGGACATAACTTCGTTACATTGCCATAACGAGTATTCGCAAATTGAGGTAACGCGAGGAACTTACAGTTCGACTAGCTGCTCCAAATTTCGGAACGTGTCCTCTTCGATTGTCTTTATTTTGTTCTTTTGCATACTCCTGGCCAATGGTTGATGTTGCTTGTTAGTTTAAAGTCAGTAAAAAGTATTACTTAATTCCTTAATATAATTTATTAGTAACACTTTTTTATGCAAAATTATAAAGTTTAATAGGAAATATTTTGCTACGGTAGACACCATTACTTTAATTTTTAATTAAAAAAGAAATATTAAGATTAATTATTAATATTAACGAAACAATTGAAATAAAACGAATAATAAGAATTACGTCATTAGTGTATTTGCGACTGCGATTAGAATAAATAAATTACTAATAACAGTTGTAAATATAAAACGTGTATAGGAGTTAAAGGATTAATTTTCTATATTTGTTATTTACTTACGTACGTACAGTAATTTTAATGATGGACATCCAGCGAACAAAGTATCGGGTATTGATTCAAAATTATTTTCATCTAACAATCTGAAATTGTATAGAACGAAATCAGTTTCGATATTTCAATTTCAACGAAACGATGAAGCGTTAACTTACATCTCGCTTAATACCGGCAATTCTGGCAACTTCAGTCCTTTCGAAGTTAATTGATTTTCATTCAAATTTCTATAATAATGTAACAAATTAACATAAGATTAAAATCGTACAAAATTTCTACAAAATTATAATTTATGTTAAATGACACACATGAAGTTTAAAGCAATGCTCCCTTCTAAGTCTGAAAAATCTGCCACAGTGATTCTGTTCTTATTGGCCCTCAAAGATTCCAACTTGGTTAAACCAGCAAAATGTCCAGGCAGAAATTCGCTAATTTGATTGTTATCCAAAGCTCTGTTCATAAAATACATTATGTATATTACATTAAAATTGTGTAATTACTAATTTTCTAATAGCATTGAAGATTTAATTAAAAGTATTTATACTCACAGCCAAAACAACTTAGTCAAATTAAGAAAAGCTCCTTTTTCTAGCTCGTGTATATTACTACCATCAAGATATCTGAAAAATTATGTTTTCTTATCAAAAATATATTTATGCGATACTTGTAAAAAAAAATGCACAAAGTAAATAAGAATCTTAGAAACTCACAGTATACGGATTTCTGAGTATTGCGCAAAGGCGCCCATTGGCACGCGTTTAATCGAGCTATCATACAGAGTTCTAAAAAATTAATCACAATAATTAAGAACAATTCACTAGTGCGATAAAAATAAAAAAAGTGTATACTTTACAAAAGATTTCAGTTTTTTAATACTTAAAAACCGTACATGGAAGTAGTTTGAGAAGATAGGTTTCTCGGAATTTCCGAGTAGTCGTGACAAGTGGCGCGACACTTCACGTACTTACAACCGACAGGAATGTCGGTGGCATCTACGAAGAAGAGGAAAACACGTAAATTACCAATTCTTATCTCGTCCATTGCGTTTTGCGGTTTATCGTCGCATTTTTATTTCTGTTATTCGATATTGTGTTCCGTTGTTCGATAAATTATGGATATTGCATTACCACAAACGAACTCGCTTACAGGTTCGGAATCTCTGTCACTGCCAAACCAGTCCAATACACCGTGATAATCATCTGCATACAAAGTAACACTTTTTATATTGCCCCGTTCGGTATTGCATTTATACTGTATAAAAGGGACACGTATATAAAAATGTCAAACATCGTAACTAAATTTTAAATTTAATTCGTTCTTGCCCGAAAAAGGAGTATCTCGATATGTTCAATACGATCGTGCAACACGGAAGTATCATATTCGAACTATAAATTATTCAAACATCTTTTTGTAATGGATCTCTTTGTCGTGAAAATTAAAATGGATGTAGTAATTAATGAACTAACAGCAATTTTGTTCGTCATCCCCGTGAGGACATTGGCTTTGTGAGTCGCACCAATTTCTCTGTGGTAGACAAATTGTGGTATTGTAACAAAGGAACGTTCCTACTGGGCAAGTATCTGGAATTAGGAAAATCAAATTATCAGCAATTATCGAACGATATGAGTTCGAACAACACAATGTAAATGTCACGAATGAAGGATAATTTAGATCGATTACCCATTTCCAAATGTAAGACGGTATATTGCTGCTTCTAGGTAATTGTTCAATCGTTTAAGTTCTCTATTTTTTATAAATGCAAATATATAATTATAAATGTGAAGTAATATGTAATTGTTAGGGAACAATTTATTGGATTGTTGTCGTTTGTAAGATTTATCAAATATGAAGCTTAAGATTTATTAATGAAACTTCTTATTAATTATCAGAAGTGTGACATTATAAAATATTACCGAATCGTTTTAAAAAAATCTTACTATTTCGTATAACACTTAGAAGATATTTATGATATTTTGAATATTGATCTCTTTAATAATACGTTTTTTTCAGGATACAAATAAAGGTATAAAACGTACATTGTACGTACCTTTATGAAGCTTAAGTCTTTCAATTAGCAATAATATAACTTAATAAAACAAATATTTTATTATCCAATAACTAAATTATCTACTTCGAAGAAATGTAATATCAAACTACAAGACTAACAAATTAAAAGAATTTCTGACAATGAATGAATTTTTAACGATGCTATATCATAACGAATCAACTTTTAACGATATTATATCATAATGAATGAAATCACATACCTTGATTAAAATAATACATCAGCCCTGATAACAGGCACAAGGTCGCGATTAAAAATGCGCCGATAGCACCGATGCGTTTGTACCTCATTTCGGAACACGAACGTTTCGATCTTTAAAACGATCTAGCGCCTCTGTGTTCCACGGACTTCCGTGTTTTCCCTTGCATGAACAACGTTTTCCACGTGCACTCGGTACAACGACTGCATGACACTGGTTGCATTCACTAACTCCGTCGCAAGCTCCGGCGTCACGCACACGCGCTCTTCATCGTCCGCGAATGAGGATTTCTTGCCGTTTGCTGCTAGGCATTTCACTTCAAATTACATCGATCGATTGTCTTCACGATTGTTATATCATAGGCGAACGAACGATTTGGTCGGAAAAGTTCCTTGCAATAAGAAACAAAAGTAGTATGGTGAATATTGATGGACTTGTTTCTTGTAAAGATATAATTTTTGACTGAATTAATAGTTGGTTAGTAGCGGTAGAAGAAATGTTGGTAAAATTATTGGACAGTATGTGAGTTGAAAACATGTAACAGAATTAGGCAGAATTCGCAGGTGTAGGTTTTATTGGATTATTTACAAGGATAATTCGCAAATTCTTTTGAAAATTTGTTACTTCTCCTGTTCTTTCTTTTAAGTAAATTTTGGCATTCGTTTCTCGTATGGATTTGTATGTACAAGTCTACAGAAATATACAGAGAAGCTCTGTGCTTTTGGCATTCTAGGAAAAATATAATCCTATTTTCTTTGTAACATATTAAATAACATACTAAATAAACTTGCTTTTTGACAAAATGAATTTATTTCTTTTCGAGTGTACAGAATATTAACACTTACATTAATACCACTTTAACGCCGCACTATGCGTTTTTATAGATTATCACTGTTATATTAACTGTTACATAATATTATAGAAATTTATTCTAGTCGATAAAATGTTGCACCTCAGACCAACGTTACAAATTAAATGTTACGTATTTTATCTTAAACTCGAACTTTTCGAACGAAAGAAACGCAAGTGTAAGGAAATAATAGCGCCTTCACCGCGAGCGCAAGAAAAAAGTTACTAATTGCAAATGGCGGAGGAGATAGTAATTGGTCTATTACGTGTTCGCTATCAAAGTTTACTTTCGAAGTTCACTTACGATTGTCGCTTCAAACTTCCTAACGTATGCAGATACGTCGGTGACAAAATTGCGACAGCGATTCGAACAATTCGCATCAATGGCGTGTCGCGCCTCGAGACGACAGCGATCAGAGAATATGTAATCACTCATTAATAGACAATTAATATCGATCGAAAAGACTCACGAGAATCTCTAATTTTCCGATACAAACTGTCTCTTCTCTACTGTCTTTATGAAAAGTCTAATTACCGGCTATAAGAGAAGTATCACAAATTCAGGAACTTTTTTTTCCACTATTGATCAAATATATCAAATATACATACTTAAAGAGCAACTGAATTCTTACGAATCGTATCAAAAGCTATAACACTAGTTCCTTTTGCCATGTGTTATTCTACCATCCTTCAATATGTACATCGGATTACAGTTGATACGAAAAGGATCTTAATCTCCATAAATTACAATATACATGACATTTGAAAAAAGAGTAATATCTCGACAATTGTAATTCGATACTGTAGCAGTCCTCAAGCTAAAAGTCTTGAGTCAAGTTGTCACGTCTTTAAGAATGAAGAAGCCGATATCGTCGTACGTAGAACTGTTCTACGACGAGAACGTGATCTCGTTGAGCAAACGACTCTTGAACTTATCCGGGCTATGGCCGCATAATCGTAACGATGTTCGATTTTTCTTCTACATTACGTACGTCGTGATCTTCACCTGGTTGGAGATTGTGACTCTGCTGCAGAATATACACGACCTTGAGAAGACACTGAAGAATATCACGCTATCGTTCCCGACCATCTTGATAGTACTGAAGGCCATGATGTTTCGATTGAATATGCATCTCGTGCTACCATTGCTAACGGTCGTGAAAAGGGACGTGAAGCTTGGATTGTATAAATCAGAAGAGGAAAGGCGAACGGTCGTTTGGTATAACGTGGCCGCCACGTTATTTTCCACCTCGTCGGTCCTGTCTTTATTCTTCGTGCCCACCTTGTTTTATGCCAAACCAATCGTCGGCTGTCTTTTATCCAGTAAGTTCAATCTGTAGTTCGGTGGTTCGTATCTATAGTTCGAGAGAATAGATTGATTCTGTCGATCGACGAAGTTCAGGCTGTTGATATTCTTATTCAAAGAGGAATGATATTAGTAAGAATAATCTATTGATAGTAAGTAGGATTTAGTGTCACCAAATAACTAGAGAATATATTAATATGAATTTTGTCCATATGTTTGCTTCGAAACATTTCTCTATTCCTTAAATGCTCTATATCGTCCATTGTACAAAATTTTTAAATCTAAGGGTAAAATGAATGAAAATAATTTAACAAGTAAATGTGATGCGTGAATAAGTAGAGTTTATTTTTAATTGATTTTTGGTTTATTTTCCGTACTTTAAGTCAAGCAAAATATGTATTTGTGTGATGTCGAGCATTTCAATTCCCATCAACAAGAACTTAATTTTAAATTCGGAAATCGGTACTTGATGTTTCAAACTTAAAATGTAAAACAACGTGGATTGTGGGATGGAAAAAGTAGTAAAAGTGGCGATTTTATTAAGCCGGCAGGTATTATGAACGCGTCGCGAATACTCATGCAGGATAAATCAAGACTTTAATGCGAACTTTATCGCCCAGATCCAGGAAACGCATTCGATATCCGTATCCATACGATCACGCGTACAGTTACCTCGCATATGCAGCTTTATGGTGTTCCAAGGCGACAGTTACTTCCTTCACGATACACAAAACGGTTACGTTTTACGAGCCTGTCACAGTTTGTCGAAGATTTTGCACGACCACCGACTGTGCGATTCTCTTTTTCGCGGTCGTTTCCAGCACAGTTTCGTTCGACGGCCAAGCAAACGCGAATTTATGTACTCGATGCTCTTCTTCGGTCTTCCTTCTCTTCATTTTCGATAAGTAGTATAAGTAGTAGAATGTGAGTTTGATGGAAAAATGTATTTTTTTGTATTTTTGTACTTTTGTAAAATCAAAGCTTTTAGTATTAATATATTATTAATAATATATATAAAGTTATTAACTAAATATTATTAACTCTTCAACTACAGACGACTTTTCTAATATTGTCTATAAAATCGTGAACTGACCCTATTCGTTATATTTTGAGTATATATTTACGTTTCGTTAACATATTAATTCGCAGAATTCAATAATTGTACGCTTCCTTACGAGTTACCGATGAAAGTGAATAACATTTATGAAGTGACAGGAGTACAATCATACGCTTTATTGTGCGTTTATTTAATACCAGCAAGTATGTTGTTAACAATCGGTGCAACCGGCGCGGACAGTCTTTTGGTGACGTTAACGTTTCACCTTTGTAGTCAACTTTCAATTCTGGCACGTCGTGCCAGAAATATCAGTATTGAACCGCAAATATATTCTCCAGAAATGAGAGCGCTCGTTGAGCGACACATCGAGCTTCTCCAGTAAGTCGACGAACATAAAAATAAAATTCCTTCGTTGACCTGGTACGATCTGATTGAAAATGTTATTGTTAATTTAATTGCAGACTGGCAAGTATTTTAGCAAAGGCATTTAGTTCTCTGATGTTTATACAAACATTAGGATTAATATTCTCTTTATGCATCGTGGTCTACCAATTACTCATGGTAATGATATAATTGTTTACATTTTGTAGTATTCCTGTATTTAATTTATTTGTAATTTAATTTACTTTGCAATCTTTTCTTGGTTTTTTAATGGTTTTAAGGAAGTCTTGCTTATTCTGCACTCTCAATTTATTATTATTTTAAAATAAATAAGTAAAATTTTATAGACGACCGACTCTGGAGAAGACATAAATACCATACATTTTATAATTTACTCATGCGCTGTTGTACTATTAGCATTCTCCTACTGTTTCTTGGGGGAGTGTCTAATTAACGAGGTAATTATCAAAAACAATACATAGAGAAAAGTAGTTTTTATTATTTATTTCAATATTCCTCATGTTACAACCATTAAAATATAATAATTCAATAATTCAAAAATGATCACCGTAAATCGAGAAGCACACAAGTAACTAAAATTTTTATGACTTCATAATTTCAACAAAAGTACTAACTGTATCGCTTCCAGAGTAGTGAAATGCAAATGGCTTGCTATTTCATAAACTGGTATGACTTACCGGAACAATACACGCGATCTTTAATATTTTGTATCGCTCGATCGCAGAAACCATCATACCTTACCGCTGGCAAGTTCTATGTGTTTTCCTTAGAAACGTTTGGCGTTGTGAGTTATTTTCCAAATATAACATCACTGAATATTATTAAATTCTTGCACTAAATTTGTTTAGTACATACATAATTTACACGTTTCAACTTATTTGTAGATAGTAAAAGCATCGATGGCATATCTCTCCGTTTTGAAAAGTATTATTTGAATAATTACAAGGATCAACTCAACTTGTTGAATTTGTTGAACATATAAAAGAAACAAATTATTCGAACCATTAATTACGGATATACGACTTGATCTTATAATCGAACAGTGAAACGATAGATTCAATTCTTAAATATTAAACGTAAAGCTGTTAAACGCGCACTATAATTTTCTACTGTGATAAAAGACTCATCTTTCGTAACCTTTCAACTTCTTTAATTTTCCTTAGTAATAATCACTTTAATCAATGCAATTATATATTTCCTTCATATCCCTAAAACATTACTTTCACTATCAATCTTCTTATGATACGGTAAACAGTGTACGATCGACGATTATTAACCGAACTAGAATTAAGTGTCAGGTCTAAAAAGAATAAACGTCAACGTCGCCCAGATAGAATGACTACAGAGATCGAATCTGTCTAATCAATTTTTCTCTATTGGAAGCCACTTGTACGTGGTTTACAACGTACCAGCGATATACGTATATCAAGCTCTCGGAATGTATCATTCTATCTAATCGTCGTCGAACACAAATACGTGTTGGCTGAAGGAATTAAAAGAAAAATTTATTTCGGTTTATTCAAGAAAGATACAGAGTGTACAACTGCCGAGGGGGATACAAATTATGCATATAACTCGTGCTTCACGGTAAATAATCGTCCCTATTGCCAGGTCGAAGCACGTGGACCCTGACGTCGTGTGTTATCTCTTTACAACGACCTCGATCCTACGAATGGAGTAACAGCTAACGTGCATACGGCCTTCACGATACACCGATCTCTCGCCACACGGTCCGCTGCGATCCATGCACGTTTACAGCACGTGTGTACACTTTCAGTGGCAGGAACTTAAGTAACAGTGTGCATCGTCATGTACCTTTGACGCCGATTCGGAGAGACACGGCTGATCCTCCACGAGGTATTCAGACATGGAAAAGAAACAGACGGCAAAGGCTTTGCACGCGTTTCGTTTCAGAGCAGAGATACACGGCCGCGACTTATACGATCGCGGGACAACGAACCAGACGATGGTTGGTTGCTTACTCGGTGTACGATGGTATGGAGCGAATTCTTAGTACTCATGGCCGAATCGTCTAGACGTTCATAAACAAAGGTATATTATACTGATAAATTTGTTTCAAACGAATACATGATGATTATAAAATAAAAAAAAAAAGAAAAAAGAGAAGGAAAGAAAAGTTAAAGGATAAGTATGAACCGATAATACAGGTAAATAATAAACCGTTCGAACGATACTCTGCGGTAGCGACTATTAATAGCTCGTGTTCATTCCCAGCGGAGCAAGTTAGTGTATATCGAGAATCACTTTTTCACCCTATCCTCCCTCGCGGTTGTCATTTTTCATTTCTCAAAGTTGATCATCGGCACAAAACGGCTTCTTCGTCGGTACGGAGAACGTAAAAGAATTTCGCCACGATTAGAACGATTCGTTCACATGCGTGTCCTGTGGCCGTGATGTACGATTCTTGATAACTAAAAATCAAATCCATACCAATTCGCACGAGCGTGCATGGAGATTTTTAGGAACGGGACCGTGTCGGTCGGTATATCGTGACAGCCTGTGTATGCTATACAAGCACATAAACACATGGTAATGTATTCGATGCTATTTATTTCTTTCTTTCCTTTTTTTTCTTCATTCAGACAAAACTGACTCACACGTTCACATGTTAATACGCCTCGCAGATGCATTCGCGGTTACCTCCCACAATTATGTTCCGTATAAAATCGTGCGTCTGCCTGTGCACGAGGTCCTCTGGTGTATGTGTTTGTGTGTACGAATATGCACGTTAAGTGTACACACGATACTTCATGTACAATATTCTGTCTGTTCTCTGTGTATTTCGAATTATATGTATGTGTTCGTGCGTACTGTTCTCTGTGTGTTTGCGGTTAGTGGAAGCGAGAGTTCACTAAATGTCTTTCGTTCTGAGTTCTTTTCACGTTGTGTTCAAGAAACAGAGAAAAATAGCGGGAGAAAGAGAAAGACAGAGAGGGACAAAGAGAGAGAGAGAGAGAGAGAGAGAGAGAGAAAGAGAGTTATAATACAGGACAACGCTCGAGAAGAATTCTAGATCGGTCAAAAAACTTTTGAAATTTTTTACTATTTCGCGCACTCTCAAAAACACTCGTTTCTAAACGATAGACTTAGTCTTGCCCTCAGAAATTTTTTTCGAATTTTTCGTTTTTACCTTTTTACTCGTTTCTTTCTTGTTTATTCGTTTATATTGTATAAGAGAGAAGTGTGCTACGGATGGTGTGTTCACCGTTTCGTTTTTTATCTTTATCTACTCGTTTGTTTGCTTTTTGGGGGGCTTTTTAATTGTTTTATTCGTTTATCGACTCGAGAACGTCGCATCGACACACAGAGAGAACGACTTGACGTTCTCGAGAATTGATCGAGAATATACGAATGTGTTATAGACATGTCTGACGTTTCGAAACGAAAAAATACGTGAATGGAGTTCGAGTACACGATCTCATTTGTTTTTTCTTCCTTTTTCTAAGAAACGAAAGAATTTCTTCTTCCACTTATTGTTACTACGTGCGAGGATAATATTGATGTTCACTGCTTATATTAATCTGCCTGATAGTATTGTGTAAAATCTCACGATACTATTCACGTCATTTCAATCGCGTGTTTTCTCCGTTAGATAACGTTGAACTATTATGATGTACATTTGTTCTTCGTTATATGTCCTATTTCGATAGCAAAAAATTAAATAATAATATTAGTGATAATTAACGAAAATAGCAACTGTTATCATTATAACTATAATAACAATAAGTAAATTGACTACACGAAAGTACAGCGTTTTCTCTTTGTAATTATATTAGTAAATATTATTGAGAACTATATTAGTAATAAAGAGATAATGAGAATTCCAGAAGTCGTGTGAGATTTCAAAAACTGAATGCTGAACAAAAATATTCAATGAGAAAAGTTTGGACTATTTAAAAAATATTCATTGAGTATAAGCAGCATGAAACTTTTAATTATTCTATGAAATTCGTTGATATTGTAATACGATTTAATCATAGAAAATTGTTTCCTGAGCATTTTCATTGAGCATTATAAGCTGCCATACTTAATCTAATCGTATCATAACAGATACTCGAAAAATCTTTGCTGTCGCGTCCAAACTTGGAAAATTAATTTAGTAACAGAATTATCAATAAGCAATGGAAAAGTCTCGATTAAAGACATGATTTTGTTAGAAAAAATACGCGCAAAGCTTGGTATGCCGATTTCTAACTCTTTGAAACGCTAATTTATACGAGCGCACACTTGGCTTCACGAAACGTGTATTTTTTCAAAGAAAATGTTTCTCTATAATCGTAACTTTCCCTTTCCCGATCAAGTATACGTTTAAAGTTTCTAATCGATTATCGCTACGTTTAACCAAAGAATAAGTCGAAAATTCTTAGAAATTTATGTATTGCACGATAACTAGTCGTTTTCGAGTCCATTTTATGAAATGGCGAAAAATGGAAGAAACTGAATTTAAAGAAGAGGAACCTACGTCAAATATAAATAACGTATTTTATATTTTCGATCTATGGAAGTAGTATTACGACAATTAAAAAATTTTATTTATTAAAAGACACAAACGAGCAACCGAGAAACATCTAGCATCTATTAAAAAAATTAAAAGACATAGATTTTTACACAAATTTAATGTGTAACTACTAACCCTCTATAACCGGATTTTAATTCGTCTATAAGGATAAAGGTTGTAATTGATTATACCCTTCGTTCTTATTCAAGAAATAGGAACTGACCATTGTTATAAGTGGATTGTAGAGTCGTAAGAATACAGTGGTAACATAAATTCGTGTAGTAAACAGCAAATAAAACAAATGTAACTTTCAAAGCAGATATACGTTATAGAGGGTCTCCTTAAACTATCGATTAATTACGAAATGTAAGTATGTTGTGAGGCACTTCTCTGCATATTATGTGAGCTTTTTATGACTTTATCACTGCTTTGGGGTCAGTTTTTGAAAATAACTATCAGCAATATCAATAACTACTAGCAATATCAAGCTAAACGAGAATACGAGAATACTTCGTAATTCAATCATCACAAGAAAGTATTTTTTTAGATACAACATTGAAATAGTTGCCACCCAAGATCATTACCACTAGATTTGTAATAGTATTTTATTGTGAAATCGAGAAATATAATAGCTGTCAAATTTTAATTGAAATTATATCGAGAAAACATGATTTTATAATCGATGTACGACAAAAATTCACGGGAAGTTATCCAAATAAAACAAAATCGCAAGTGTTAAATCTGATAAAAATAAATGTAATTCACTAATGTAACACTAAGCTGAGATTAATGAATAGAGTTTAATGTGTTCAACTATGAAAGCAAAAGAAGAAAATACCTTTTCGTAAAACGAGTCCGAAATAATATTGCAAATATAACTCTTTGTTTCTATGATCTTTGTTACATCTAAGAAATGTAAAATTAATACAGAATAGAAATGATTAATCACTAACGATATAAATATCTTTTTTCTTTTTTTTCTTTTTTTTAAATGTTAAAATGTGTAACATCGAATCGAGATCCATTCTCATATCGGAATGAAATATTTACATATAAAGCAAGCAATTCATATAAACAGCAGAATAAATAATATTCTTCGTAGCGGAAAACATAATAGATTGTCCATATTTTTTTTTTGTAAGAAAAATTTTTATTCTGGATTAAAAAATCTTAGTTTACATATAAATCGGAATTTTTATGTACATTTGCCTAGGTCTGTAAAACTCTCGAATGCTCGTATTAATCGAACAGAGTGGATAACATAACAAACTGATAGAGTACGCTATAAATAATATAACATATTGCTTATCTATTATACACTATTCTAATTATACCATAACTGAAGCTATAACGGAAAGAAAGAAGGAAAGCCATTTTCTAATACAGCATAATTTTTCGACTATACATTTACACTTCAATTGGCGCAACGTAAACCATACACGAGGAAAGAAGCCGTATAAGGAAATGAAATGATCTCAAGATTACGACGAATATGTACAAATAACGAAATGGTCCCTAATCTCAATAGAAGTAACTATAGTATTCGCAGAGTATCGAAATAAGTCTTAATCGAATCATATATTTTCGAAAAAGACTTATGAAACAAAAATATAGAATGTGGTATGAAAATAAATGATAATAATTGTATGAATGTAGAAACAACTACTTAATTTGTGTCGCGATATTAATACACGAGTCGATACAAAAATCATAATTTGTATGTAAATATATATCACGAAGATTACCCTGCAAATACTTAGTTTCTGAGATTAACCTATACATTTCAATGTATCGTTTGTATCGATACTTATACATATATTATTATTATTAAAGAGTGAACATCAAACACCTCGAAACGTGTGTTAATAACCGACATGCCTTTAACACAGTTGGTAATTCGTAAAGGAAAGCAATGAAACGATAAAAAAGATAGAATCGGGGTCATTACAGGATATAATTCTAAACTGAAAGGAAACTGAAGGCAGTCGAACACCTGAAAAACTCACCAATAGGTGATATAGATGATTTGAATAATCCAGATGCCAGTCCCATGTTGCATTGTTAAAGCTATAACTTCGTTTTCTGTGAATAAAAACTAAAAAGCGACTCTTCATACGAAACATATCTTCTACGTAACACGATCGTTAACAAAGATAGTCAATGGCTTAATTACAGGTGTTTCATTTACAGAATATTAACTATGAGTAACCATATATTTGAATCTAATTAATGCTATAATCGATGATTCTTCTGTAAATGAAACATTCAATTTCTTATGCCAGTGCCGGTGATTTTCCTTCTGTTACTCGATAGGTTACGATAAAGAAAAAAATAATTTTTTCAGGCATCTTATGTGAAAAATATAGAGAATGCCGCATATATTAGAATTAAGCTCGTACAGCAACTAATATTCAAGAGAGATAATCGTTTAGTATAGATAATATAAATAGTTGAAAAATATTATAAAATAATTAAAGAAACTAAGATCTACTATCATACTACGATTATACTGTTACAAACTTAAAGAGACACTGTTTGTTTCATATAATTTACACCGACGCGAGAGTAACGATTTGTTGCATGAATTATTTACAACTGAAACGTACATCCTTTTTTTTATCTTTTATCTACTTATGCATTAAAGAAATGCTTTTTATACAAGAATACGTTTCTTCCTCGCAACATCGAATCTTTTCTTTCTTACTTTTTCTTTTCATTTAGCTGAAAATCCTAATAGAAGCATTTAATCAAAATATCATTACCTATTCACACTTCAGCGCAATGACACGAATTATTTTCCTAAACCTGACACCGTGTCTCTTTTATCTTTTTTCCTTTTCCTTTTATTTTAATTTTTTTCTTTCTTTTTTTAATAATTTTATGGATAAAAATTATTATAAGTGATATGTACAAAATGAAATATAAAAAAATTATGAACCTTAGAGACATAGCAATGCTCCATTTGGTTATTACTAACTCTTCGGTCGCGACTTTCCAAAATGACCAACGCGATTTTTATGATAAAAAAGTAACATCACAGACACTGGCACAATCATTTGTTAGTGGCTTTTTTTCATTGTTGTCCAATTGTTTCCATTGACTGTTGATGTTGTTCATAAATATTAAAATTAGAGCGTCTGTCACATAATCGTGCATCGATTGACTCCAACGGGTAGTTTTCTCCAACGCATGACGTTGCTTTGTTTTTACGAAACAGGGGACTTACAGTGGGCAGTGGATGGTTGCATGAGAAGCGATTACAGTCTAGATGGCCCAGAGGAGCATCTGTGGATCGACGTGAGGTAGTAATCCTGCAGTGGTCAAGTGCAAACGTATCCTTCCTGTGCTACTGTAGATGCACCAGTAGGCCCTTCCTAAAATATTTCAAATAACGAAACAGTTAAAGTACTAAGATTGTTGGGAAAACTAAAGTAAGAGAAAGAAGCGGGACGTTGCAAATAAATTGAATGTACCGATACTGCTATATTCTCCGCTCCTTACCTCCGCAAGATTCCGATTTACATTAAAATTAATGTCTTCTACAACAAATCCAAACTTATCTTACTATTGCTGCTCTATTTTTATATGTAGTTAACTAATCTGTTATATGACAATTATTGTTCATTATATGTATAATAACTTACATCCTTAGTAGCTGTCAACGTTTGTTTGTATTCATCCAAGCTAAATCCGGAATTACTGTCTTCCCCACAAGACTGAACGACTAGCGACCCGTCTTCTCCCTATAAATAAAATTTTATTAAATATTACTGTAGTATCGTGGATAAATGGCCTAAGAAATTTCGGATGAACCATAAACAATGTCGTGAAAAAGCCTAAGTGTTGACAGGCCCATCAATGTGTCGTCGGTCTTTCAGTCGAATAGTTACGCGAAAGAAAGGCCTACGTGACTATGGTCACAAGCGGTTGCGAAACACGTACGTGGTGAGGCTATGAGAAAAGATAAAGGGATGCTTAAGGGAGAAAGACGAATTAATAGTCAGTCGTGAGTTAAGAAGTCAGAGAGTGTGGTCCGCGTGAAAGAGAGCGTTGGAACCGTGGTGACGAGAGTTGTAAATTAATTATTTAATTGTCTTAGTTATAGCACATTATTGTATTTAGTTCACGTTAAATAACCACCGTTTCCTGTTTAATCAACTCTAAATAAATAATCCTACATTACATATGAAAACAAAGATAATTAATTAATAATGATTAATATTTTATTTTCAGTACCTACATGGGCTACTGCTTGCTCATTATCGGTGGCCCTTCGCTTTTTTCCGTATGTGTCTGTGCTTTGGTCGGATAGTCTCTTCCTGTTCGTCAAATCCCCTTGGTTTCGTGGAGAAACGCTACCAGTGTTACCATTCCCAGCAATATTTCCGTTTTTATGTACATTGCCAGAAATCTGTAAGAAAGAAATCATCAATAAACAAGTGCACAAGTAAATAAACAAGGGAAATGAGATTAAAGGAAAAATGAATTACTTTTCTTTCTCGTTTGAGCAAACTAGGAGATACATAAGTGTGAAGATCCTTTCTCTTTACGTGTTTTGCTTCAATCCACATACCATCTTTTAACAAGTTCAACTGTTCCGCTTGCCTCAGAACTATAATTTTATTGGTTTATGACTATGTATGAAAATTAAAAATTAAATTATTTAATTACACATGTCATAATATACTTACTTGAGTCCACGAACGATTTTATATCATACGTTAGATCAATGTTTAAATTTTCGCTTTTAGCAAATAACAAGCCGATAAACCACATGGAGCAGTGTCCCTCCGGCTCTGGTTTTAGCGGTGGAAATGCCTCCGGATTCACATGTGCCAATGTAATGTGTGGATTTCTTTCCAGAGTACCTGTTTTTAAGAGTTAGGGTTTTGCCATTTTGGCACCCGCGGATTATTAGCATTGCAGTATCGACAAAATAAATATTCAAAGTCAAAGTTTTTATGATTACAATAGACACAGATTAAGACAGAAGCTTATACAATTCATTGATCTAGAGTCCATTTACTTCTGCGTAGGATGCATAATCTTGTAATATGAAAACCTATATGCAACTTGTAATAACAGCAATAAAAGTAACCTGTTTTAATCTACGTCATTTAACTGGAACAAACACATGATATGGTAAACTAATAACAAGGCAGCCAATGCATCGTCATTGAAGTTATCGATAAATTCACAAGATATTGCGCAAACCGTAAGTAATAAAAGATATAATAGTCAGATCGTGTTTAAAACTTTTTATACGAATTGATAAAAACAAAAAATAACAAAAATTAACGCATTATTTATTCAATTACAAATAATTTAACTTATTGGATCGTTCGATTAATTTTTCTGTACAACACCTCGTTTGTTATAATAATGATTAATACACGTTTATCGACGAATTTTATCATATCTACATACAGTGGCTCACGAAAGTATTCGAACGCTTACATTTACAAATTTCAATTAATAAAATGAGGTGTACTAAACTAATTTGTTAAAACAATTCAATAATATAGACAGGAATTATGATACATTTATTCGGAACATTCATGATAAGTGTCTCACAAAAGTATTCAAACGCTGTAACACTGTTGATAGTTTTTCATCTTCCTTTGCACTGAATGTAAACATCATTGCTAAATGAAAATATTGGTACGTTCACTTGATATTAAGATATCGTTTCAGTAACAGTAACATAAAAGTGTGCACAATAGTATTTAAAATGAATACCAAAAAGTTTGAAACAAAAAAGTGTGAAAGAGAAATAATATATAATAATAAAATCATATAGCAAGATTGCCGGAATTGTGAACAGAAGTAAGTCCACAATACATTATATCATAAAAAAGTCAAAGAATGAGGGAACACTTGCAAACAAAGCTCGATCAGGCAGACCAAAGAAATTGGAAGAGAGGAGAAAGTTATCATTCGCGAATTAAAAAAAAATCCTACTACATTCGCTCCTCAACTCACAAGTATGGTAGCTGATATGTTTCATAAAGAAGTTCAGCCGGAATTATGTTAACAAATCTTACGAAACAATGATTTTCATGATAGAATACCATGAAAGAAGCCATATATTAATGCGATAAATCATAAAAAAAAGACTGACTTTTTCAAAAACCTATATTAATAAAGAATTCTTTTTGGAATAAACTCATCTTTTCGGACAAGCCAAAGTTTAACATTTTTGGATCAGCTAGTCAAAATTATGTGTAAGGAAAACCAAATACGGTATTGGAAATTCAACATTTACATCAAACAGTGAAACACGAAGGTGAATCGGTTATGGCGTGGAGGTGCATGGCTGCCAGTGGCACTGGAAATTTGATATTTACTGATGGAATACTTGGTAAATATAAGTATTTAAATATTTTAAAAAATAACCGTAAAGAAAGTGCCCGTAAATTAGGATTGTTGGAAGGTTTCCACTTCCAACAAGATAATGATCCTAAGCATACTGCTAAAATTGTGAAAGAATGGATCATATATAACACACCACACGTGTTAATTATCCCACCGCAAAGTCCAAGCATAAATCCGATTGAAAATTTATGGGTTGAAATCGGAGAAAGATTAAATAAATTTCAGATAATCTCAAAGCAAGTATTGAAAGATGAAATTATAGAAATATGGAACTCCATTGAATGTAGTTTTATAAAATCATAGATTTACAGTATGGATCGTCGATTGAGACACACTATTGCTGCTAAAGATGGTCCAACAAAATATTAATATTAAATAATTTAATAATATATGTAGCGTTCAAATACTTTTTTTGTGAGTCACTTACAATGTATGTTTCTAATAAATGTATCATAACTCCTACCTACGTTGTATCCTATTGATATCTGCTTGTCTAAGCAAATTACTTTAATGTACATTATTTCGGCCATTTAAGTTTGTATACGTAAGCGTTCGAATACTTTCGTGAGCCACTGTATATAATTGAATATATTTAATATGTGTTTAATATTTTACCTATCAAATGTCGTATTTTAGACTCAACAAGTCCACACCATTCAAGCTGATCTTCGGCAGTCAAACTTCTCGCCAATAGTACAATATAATGTTTATATTTTCCAAAGAAATTTGGAGGTTCAAATAATTTGTCCCACGTTGCTTTCCCCATGATAATTTCTTCTGTTATCGAAAGTCCATTTTCGAATGCCTCTTGCATAATTGTTCTTGTTGATACTGATACGTTGAAAGTTGAATTTTGTTGAGGATATGCCGGTGTGATTATTGGCATTAAGTGATATCTATCTGATATATTCACCTTGGGAAAGAAGTTTGTTAAATTAAGAAACTTATTAGTATAAAATATGTTTTAATCAAAAGCAATATTAAGAATCTATATTTATTCTTTAAGAATGATTCTTACTCTGGGATCCCAAACTGGATAGCCTAAATTAACATTGTCAGGTTGCTTTAAAAGAACTGGTTGTGGCCACTTCCATTGTGAAAATACAAGGAAAAATTTCTCTATTAATGTTGCTGCAACAGCATTAGGATAAAGTTGGCATGTTCTTGCAACCAACATTGCCCAAGACACACCACCTAGATAGCCTAATACATTACTATATATCCCATGTCCTAAAAATGAGAAAATAAAACAATGTATAAAAAACACTTGTCTCATCTCAAAACATACGAAAATTAAAAAGCAGATTATCTTACGTTTTGCCCATAACTTAATGGCTCTAAGTGCCAGCCTAAAATTTTCTATATTGGGTACTAAACGTAGTATTTCATCTGTTACTCTACAACCGTTAAGGCTTCTTACACATTTTTGATCCAGATTTTTTAGAAGCATGTCATCTTTAAGGTCCTACAAATATGGGAAAAATTTATTTGATATGCAATTTACAAAAAGGTGGAGAAACATTATATACATTATATAGTAAGTTGCTAACCATTGAATCAGGTATTTCTTTAAGTGACAGTTTAGCAAACAGCATATCAATTTCAATACCATCAAAATTCATTTTTATTACTGGTACAAATGCTTCTTCTACTGCCTAAAATATGTTAAATAACACAATTAAATAACTATAAAATTTACATTTGAACAAATAAACATTTTATGATATGTCTCTGATATATTTAATTAGAGATTTTTATTTCTAATCAACTAATGATAACTCTAAATATTAATTGCATTACTCACTGTGTAAATGTTATGCAAAGAAAATGCAGATTAAATGGACAAATAATTGTTATGATTACTTGATATTGTGTAAAGTACGTACCCTTAAATCTGTAACTTCTTCTTGCATTTTCAGTAATTCAAAAAATGATGCAAAATAATCCGACCTATAGATGTGCCGTGGTACAACACAGAGAGCATCTATATCAGCACCTTTGTGATGTACTCCTAACCTATATGAACCGAAAGTATATATTTTACCACCAACTTGGTCAGCTACGCTGGATGGCATATTTCTGGCAATACTTGTGTCCCGTATCCATTGTTTCACCAGTGTGTTTAATTTACTAATCAAACATAACAATTAACATAATACATAGTTAGTAGTGTTCAAAATATCAATATTATACAATGTAAGTGTAAATGCAATACCTTAAAATTTCCATTCTGTGATTTAACTCTGCCTCAGACTCAAATACATTATATGGCTTTAATGCCTCCTTTAATTCATTGGTCCTAGTAAAATCACTGGGCTTTGGTTCTGCTACACTAATAGCAGATGTCATACCCAATGTACGTAGGTTCTTTTCTTCTTTGGATGATGCATTTGAGTTTGAGTTATTACCTTGTGATGACCACATCTTGACACGCATTTATTTGTTCTAGACCTGAAACAAGGAGACAATGATATTTAATTGCATTGGTTTTAAAGCAATGAATTAAACATAAAAGTTTGTACATTTACAAAAACTGACATGGATATTAACACTTGATTATATAAACAATGAACTGTATTCCAATATATATGACTTTCTATCATTAAAACAGTTAATTATAAATTAATAATTGCACATCTTCATAAAATAATAGCAAATGATCAAACTAGAGTTTAATAAATAAATCGTTTTAATAAGTAGTTCGTATAAAATATAGCATTAGACACAAATTTACCCAAGTACGTTCTCTTTACTAGTTAAATCTTATTTATATATAGTTTTTTAACACAACAAATAAAATAAATACGGATAAACACAACATATTTGATAGAATAACATCGACATAAAGAGTACTAATCAACCCTTCATCATTCTCATGTATCATATCACAGGACAATAATCATTGTACCTACAGTATTTTCGATATCTATATTAATACTACATTTTTGAAATGCTACATATCAGTAAAGAAGTTAATATAAAAGTGCGCGTAAATTTGTCCAGGAATGTGATAAAGTGATGATATTATGAAATCTTGAAAAAGATAGGGCAGAAACATAGATCTGAAATAAAACTTCTATGTCTACAAGAATATATAATATTTTACAAAATATGCAAACATTTTTAGTGATTGATTTGAACGAGCGAACACTTTTTCTTCATTCTACACGTGATCGGAAACACATGAGAGTGTGAATATTGAATATTGTATATTGCTTGGATTCTTACCGATAATACTTTGTCAAAGATGCGATGACATGATAAGGATAAAGAAACTTCGGATGTGTTGTCTGTCAGGTTATAAAACGTGCAAATGCCTCTAGTAAAGATGCATCACGTCCATCCGATGCTTGTGGACGACTCCTGAAAAGGAAATTGTATTCCTAGCGCGAATAGCACGTTTTTCAAGCTCTGCTTAGTCGCAAAACAGCGCGAACAACTTGTAAACAATTTATGAGGTAGCAAAAGAATCCAGAGAAACGAAGGTCCATAAGTCACAAAATTGTTCGCGTCGATCAAATTATTCCATACACCACTAGTGGAAATTAATCAGCCACAACATCAATTGTAACACACTTCACGCACAGGACACTTCGTGTTGCGATGTATCTTGTAAATAAATAATTAAACGTTAGTACTTGAAAATAATAGACACACATATATATGCAATCGCAGAAAACCAGCTACAATCTGGACATGGCGTCCCTAACACGGCCTTATATACCAGTCAGAAACTATATAGATAGAACTGCAATCGACTGGTTTCTAGCGCCGTGTTCGATTTAACTGCCATCTTACATGGAATGGGAAATTAACATTGCATTTTACATCTCGGTTATTTATAAGCAGATTTATTGTTTATTTTAATTGTTTACTGTCATATATTATATTTTTTGATATTGTATAATATTTTTTCAAAAGATATATTAATTAAATCATAGATATTTAAAAAAATTATAGCTTCCGGCCCACGCATTGTTGCAAGTGGAGCAAGTGCACTGTAGAAATCGCAGTGCGCTTCTTTAAAACGTATAACTTATGGCTCCCATGTCGAATGTGCTTTTATTGTGATATTACTGTTATGTACCCGAAGCAACAGTGCTGTATGATTTCATCGAACGTGAAATTGTTATAGCTTCGATTAATTTTGCTTGAAGTAATACTTAAAATGTCTTATCCTAAATAAACTATTATGCCAAAACAAGGAAATAACATCCCCGTTATTTTTATCGCCTTGAAAGATTATGCAACTTATTCATTGCAAATACTAAAATAATACATTATTCACAAATTATCATTGACGTACCTATAACAGTGCATACAAAAACTAAATTTTTCATTTTTTAGCAATTTATATCTTATACTAGTCACGTCCTTATATTTAATATATGAAAAAGAGTAATGTAATAATTCCATTACAAAATAATAATTCCACATCACAAATGTTATCAAAGTTAAAAGAGGGATCTACAGGGAAAGAGAAGGAAGTGCATTTAAATCAGAGAATTTTCGAGTATGCCTCAGTTATTAATGCATTAAAGTAATCGATATTTAATACACTATTTCCAATAAAATGTATTATATTGTATCATATATAATCTCAGTTTTATTTTCTCCAAAAATCATGGCTATTTCATATTGAAGCACAAACCGCGTAACGACGCGAGATAGTTTTTTAGTCCCGGTCTTCACCGAACGGTGGCGATATTACACCAAAGCAACAATTTTGTTATTCACGCGCCGGATCGTTTTTTCTTTTATTTTTCTTTTCTTCCAGTAACTAACAGTAACGTAGCAAAAAACGCCGGAAATAAAAGCCGAATGAAAATGACTCTTTTCATTGCTCGAGTTTTATTTGCGGCCGAGAGTTAAGCTGCATGATACCCACGGGGATGCTTCAGCCAGAATACTTACTAGCTGCCGCTAAATTAGCGGCGGAATTAATCTTTATCCACTCTCATTCTATCCAATCTTACGTGGCCTCTTCCTGACCGCCTGAGCATTTCAGCGAATACAGTAATTTGAACTTTCACCCTTTCTTCTGGTTCAGGAATCGGAACTGATTCCGGAATTTTACGGTTATTTATTGTACTTTGATATTGAACGATACAGCTGTGCTGTGAGAGCGTTCTGCACTCAAATGAACTTTTGAAACAATTTTTCTGAAATTTGCGCAATTAAGAATAAGACGCCTGTCCGGTCGGTCGCGCGTCATTTAATTAAGACGAGTTGCCTCGCGTATCTCTTTAATTAAAATCGTAAACCCATTTACCTTCGCTACCCATTTACTGTATAATGTAGACATTATTACATTCATATAAATTCATTCAAAATATAATAATTTATCATAAATTAGTGTCGCCTAGTTATTATAATATCGATGCTAATGTTTACTGCAATACTATATTTTCTGATTTAAAATTTGTATTTTTTATATAGATTCAATATTCTTTTGTAGAAAATTTTTTTTTAATTTAGTTGTTTACATTCACAATTTGTCCGATTTGGACATTTGGTAGAAGTTTGTAGAAAATTAAAGAAGAAAAAGAGAAAGTAACAGAGTTTACAGTAGCTAGACCTGTACCGTACTGCACTTCGTATTCTGTCGTAGAGAAGCTGTGTTAGGCCATAAAACTGAGTCTTCTAAATCCAACCCCTATTGTTATTGTCAATAGCTTACACCATGTTTATGGCGAAAAGAATATTTAAGAAGAAGTGTAAAGTTAACAGAAAATCCAGCAAATAAAAGTAAAAATTTAATCTACAATTTGTGAGTAGCCTTAAGTTTAGGATTCTAGTTATATAATAAAAAAATAAAAATTCAAATGGTATATTTATATGACACATCAATACGATATTTAATCCAAAAAATGTGGATGGCAATTATTAATGTTTTTGATCATATTTTATTAACTCTGTGATGATATACTATTGATGTACTATTCCATTTTTTAAAAATTCAAAGTTTTGGCGTAAGTTCTTCCAAGATTAATAGAAAAACCGTTTCCGTGATAGATTCAGTGATGTCTTCAATTTCGTAGGAATTAATTCTCTAGCTCATTAGCGCACCGATTTGAAACAGCTGTAAATAATCAGGTAATACTGCTGGCGCGCATAACTCAGTTCGACCACATATGCTACGTAATCAATAATTACAATACATGATAGCAACGAATTTTGATTCCCTTTCCAATGTTTAGTCACTCCAGAGGCGTGAATAATTGAAACCGGCAGAATCGAGTGTGTAATCTAAATCTAAATTAATAGGTCACGTTGCTCGCACAATAGTAGCCTTTATGATACCGGAGAGATTAGTAAAGGTATAATTTACTACAAGATTTGAAAATTTCAACGCGTAGCTCTTCCATTGAAAAATGGAAATTAATCAGATTATTAATAATGCAAAGAAACTCTTTAATAAAACTATAAATTTTGCTAAAAATAGGTTACGATGGTCTCTTATAATTAATTAGAATTTCATAATCTAAAAGTTGATTTGATGTTAGAAATTACGTTTCTTTATACATAAAATTAGATCTTGGGGAGTAGATAACATAACTAATGAAACGAATGATGTTTCGTTATGTTTTGTATAAATATTCATAATATGAAGTTTAACTCTTTAAGTTTAATAAAATTTATTTTAATAAAATTAACTTTAAGTTTTGATAATTAACAGAATTTTTAAATATTCTGTATCTGCCTAGCATTTACGAGCACTTTTGGAGAAACTCAAGCATGAAAACATATACTTACTGACTAAAATTAAGAAACATTGTGATCGCTTGGAAATTATTGTATATTTATATGTAAAAAATAATACAAGGTGATAATAGCCTATACATGAAATTATAATATATTTTTTCTTCATTATACTTGTTCTATAATCGATATTGAATCAGGTGAACAAAATAAAACTATTTGACGAAAGTTAATAAGAATAAGAAAATTAAGAAGAAAATTAATAAGTTTCCTGTTTGAAATATTAACTATTTTTAATAAAAACTAAATAAAAAATAATTTAATAGGATATTGAGTAAGTCTTGTAACCCTTAGGTTTGAGAACTGCATGGCATCTGCGTGATGTTGATTCAATTAAGGGGGGGGGGTAAGGTTAATTCGTACAAAAAAAGGCATGTATTTGTGAATTTTTTCTGACGATACAGTTAAAATTTCGTTTTTAAAACCAATAGTACATTAAAGTATGACATTCGAAGAATATTGTATAAAATTTTCACGGAGAAATATTAAAAAATACGGCAATGGCAGCAATTATTCGGACGTGTCTCGGAAAAAAATATAATTGCGAGACCCCTCAGAACTTGGTGCTGGATCATCAGAAATCAAAAAGTTAAAATTCATTCGTTAGGTGATAGTTTTCTCTAGGTAACGCTGCGAAGATTTTTTCAAATTTTCAATTTTTCACTTTTTTGGAGCACTTTGAAGAGAAAAACGCGATTTTGTGCGAAAATTTTCGGCTAATTTGTTATTTTAAAATAAAAATAATTAACAAATTTGAAAAAACTCTACAGCGTTACTTCGCAAATTATATACAGAAGTAGTTTTAAAAAGTTCAAAAGGATCGGTGTAGTAGTTTTGAAGTAATTGCGGGCACCGACTTTGAAAACGTGAGTTGCGGGGAAAACGCTTTAAAGTTTTGAACACTAAAAAATCTGGTATAAAACGTTCATAAGCGAATTTTATCGGCTCACACTGAATCATCAATGCCAGGTCCATAAAGGATGTTGCTATCATCCATGATAGTTCTTCGGCTGTTGCTGCTCTTTCTTCTTTTATAGCAGATTAAAAAAATCGATTCGCTACTTCTCTTACAGTCGAGCACATTTCTTTCACGTAATCATTGTACGTCGGTTTTGATAAAAACCTACTAGACAAATCTTTTCACAGCCAACTAATCCAAGGCCTAATATCCTCATCACGAAAACAAACCGATAATTAACATCGAAAGTACCAGAGTTTATTCTTGCACTAGACGGAACATTTGTAATCTGTTTACAGCATTGGCACGACACTTTGATGTTAAATCCAAGGCCTTCTTTCTTAGTCGAATGAAAATTTACTTTTCCATATAAAATTTTCACGGAGAAATATTAAAAAATACGGCAATGGCAGCAATTATTCGGACGTGTCTCGGAAAAAAATATAATTGCGAGACCCCTCAGAACTTGGTGCTGGATCATCAGAAATCAAAAAGTTAAAATTCATTCGTTAGGTGATAGTTTTCTCTAGGTAACGCTGCGAAGATTTTTTCAAATTTTCAATTTTTCACTTTTTTGGAGCACTTTGAAGAGAAAAACGCGATTTTGTGCGAAAATTTTCGGCTAATTTGTTATTTTAAAATAAAAATAATTAACAAATTTGAAAAAACTCTACAGCGTTACTTCGCAAATTATATACAGAAGTAGTTTTAAAAAGTTCAAAAGGATCGGTGTAGTAGTTTTGAAGTAATTGCGGGCACCGACTTTGAAAACGTGAGTTGCGGGGAAAACGCTTTAAAGTTTTGAACACTAAAAAATCTGGTATAAAACGTTCATAAGCGAATTTTATCGGCTCACACTGAATCATCAATGCCAGGTCCATAAAGGATGTTGCTATCATCCATGATAGTTCTTCGGCTGTTGCTGCTCTTTCTTCTTTTATAGCAGATTAAAAAAATCGATTCGCT